TAAAAGATAAAAGATAAATTAATATATGTCTTGAATAAAAAAGATATCTAGTCAAAATAATGATTTTCAGAAAGTCACAGGTAGATATAAAAGATAAATTAATATATGTCTTGAATAAAAAAGATATCTAGTCAAAATAATGATTTTCAGACCTGGAAAAGTCACAGAAATGAACAAAATCCTATAATGTTATGGACATTTTCAGAATATATTCTATACACATTTTATAATAATTATAGGTATTAATATAATGTAATTATGTAAATGGTTAACATATGACTAAGTCAAATGTAATTTTAACTATATAAATGTCCATCACTCTTTGGAATTTGTTAATTTTTGTGACTTTCCCAGGTCTGTAAAAATTTTAATTTATAGACCATGGAAACTATTTAACATAAAAAACCTAAGTATATAAAATAAATAAGAGTATATACAGAAGTTAAAATGTAAATTATTATCATTTCATAATTATGTGTGTGTAAAGTTTGAAATTGTAATTTTCAGATATGACAATATATTAAATGTATGAATTTTTTTTAAAATTTTGATTTATTGCCTATTACTTATTTTAAATTTAATTCAGTTATAGTATATCACTTATTTGAAAATTAAATAATTAAAAAATTGAGCAATTGCAAATGTTTTGCATAAAATTCTACTGGTGCTGATGTTTGGCTGTTTGTGTGCTTTCATGCTCATGCATTTCTTTATTTTTCCGTCTCTTTTTTTAGTCTCAGGTGGATTCACGACAGCTCATCAGGTTCCTGCTATATCTTCCGTGTTCCAGTCGGCCTACTCCCCTCCCACTCCAGACACCCCAGACTCGGTCTTCTCCACCCCACCGCAGATGCTTATAACTAAGACTTTGCCTCTCACTTCACACAGCACCCCTGCACTGATGGGTCTGCCCCCTACCCAACCGACTGCAAAGGTAAGGCAACTTCTTTCCTAATCACATCTGTTTATGCAAATCAGTTTTCATATGCAGCATAACCTAGTTGAAATGCCAACATGCAATTTAGCTTGTTTTTCCTCCATCTTTTCAATAGAAAAAGGGTGTCAAGCGCAAGGCAGACACGACCACCCCCACCACCACAGGCATGGCGCTCACTATGGGTGTAGGTGGGATGGGTCTCGGCATGGGCGGAGGTGACTCCCCACTCACCCTCTCCGCTTTGGTTGCCGACCCCACACAGAGCCTGTCCCTCGGCCTGGGCCTGGGCATGGGCCTTGGTGGAGGCCTGGTTGGAGACAAAGTACCGGCAAGACGAGGTGGCAGTGGCAGGCCCATCAAACCCCCACGGAAAGACTTGCCCGACTCCCAGAACCAACATCAGCCGGTGCGGCGCGGGAAGCTAAGCCAGCAGCTACGGTACTGTAGCACGATTCTCAAAGAGCTGCTGTCGAAGAAGCACGCGGCCTACGCCTGGCCCTTCTACAAGCCGGTGGATGCTTCCTCACTGGGACTGCACGACTATCATGATATAATCAAGTATCCCATGGATCTAAGCACAATTAAGGTGCGTATGAAGAGGTTTAGATGTGTTACATGATAATATGCAACCATGTGCATGATCAGACCTGATGATTTGCTCTATCTTGCAGAGGAAAATGGATCATCGGGAGTACAGGGATGCGTTGCAGTTTGCTGCAGACATCAGGCTAATGTTCTCAAACTGTTACAAGTACAATCCCCCAGATCACGATGTGGTGGCCATGGCTCGAAAATTACAGGTACAGATGCTTGCACTTAAATTAAAAGAATTTTCTCAAGTCATTTGCAGTTCCAAGTAAGTCATCACATCATATGAAGGGTTTTATTTTACTTCATTTAGTTTTCTAATTCATCATATTTATAATACACCTTAACACGGGTTGGGAATTGGAGGATTTGAGGATTTACAATTCTTGACATCTGGCAACTTAGCTTGTTACCAATGCAAGATAACAGAAATGTCTAAAAAAAAAAAAAAATTTTCAGGATAATTAACCAGCGGGCCAATGTGCTTTATTACGCTTAATTGAGAGAAGCAAAAATCTTGATCACAGTTGAAATATATGATTAACTGTGCAGCTCTACTTCCACTTCCCTTGATAACCCATTCAAATAGCTTATGTCCAAAGCTGGATATTAAAAATGTCTTTTCTCTGTTTCAGGATGTCTTTGAGTTCCGCTTCGCCAAGATGCCAGATGAGCCTTTGGAGTCCCTCCCACCTGCGTCCCTGGGCGGCGGCCTGGGCGGTCACTCCTCCTCTTCCTCCTCCTCTTCCTCGTCCTCGTCGGAGAGCGACGTGAGCAGCGAGAGCGAGAGCAGCCCGAGCTCTGACAGTGAGGAGGAGAGAGCGCATCGCCTGGCCCAGCTTCAGGAACAGGTGTGTACACAGGTAGCGACTCAACTTTTCCAGCAAAGTCTGCTAAACCGGAACTGACAGATTTGACGTAGTTGTACATTACTGACAGCTGCAGTGAAAGAACGCAGTGACACTCACTCACTCGCTTGTCTGCAGTTGAGGGCGGTGCACGAGCAGCTGGCTGCGCTGTCCTCTACACCCATCATCAAGCCCAAGAAGAAGAAAGACAAGAAGAAAAAGAAGAAGCTGGAAAAACACAAGCGGGCCAGGAGTATGATGGAGGACGAGGTACTCGTCCGGCCGCCAAAAACGCCAAAACTCTCCAAGACACCAAAGAGCAGGCGCAACAGCAAAGCAGCCAGCTCCACTCAGGGCAAGAAGGGCTCCAATAAGAAGAGCAGCAAGAGCAAGTACGTCTCAAATACTGATTATTTGCAACTCATTTGAACCTGAACATCAACAAAAACATGAACTTGTCCTCTTTTTTTTTTTTTCTTTAGATCCTCAAAGAAATCTCAAGCCCCCTCTTTTAACTCTCACCAAATGAGCCAAGGCGGTCTTACGCCACACTACGACTCTGAGGAGGAAGAGGAGACCAGCCCCATGAGTTATGATGAGAAGCGGCAGCTCAGTCTGGACATCAACAGGCTGCCGGGCGAGAAACTGGGCCGCGTCGTTCACATCATCCAATCGCGAGAGCCCTCGCTGCGTGACACCAACCCCGAGGAGATCGAGATTGACTTTGAGACGCTCAAGCCGTCCACGCTGCGTGAGCTGGAGCACTACGTCATGATGTGTTTACGCAAGAAACCACGGAAACCTGGCGGTAAGAGCATTTAGATAGGATTCAGACTAGGGTTGTCGATTTATTCATTTATTTATAGTAAATTATTTATTAATTGCATGGATTAGGGCTGCACTATTATGACAAAAATCATAATTGTCGATTATTCCCTTGAAATTGTAATTGCGATTATTAATTACGATTATCACAATTTACATTGAATGATGTTTATACCATTGTTTGATGCAACTGCATGCCGTATTTTTATATGAAAATAAACAAGCTGAAAACACTAACTGAAAAACCTTTAGTGCTTTTCTATAGTATTAAGCCTCAAATGTCAACTATACATCGGATTGGTTTCTTCTTTAAATTATACAAAAAGTAAAAATATGAATGGTATTATAATGTTATACTAAAACTAAAAAAATTGAAAAAACCTTAAGATAACATGTGGAAAGAAAAAAACGCATCTTGAGCACGCAGAATAACATAAGTGGACTTTGAACGATTAATTGCCGCTTTGAACGATTACGTAATTGTGGCATCCATAATTGTAATCACGATTAGAAATTCGATTAATTGTGCAGCCCTAGATTGACTACTTGATTAATTCTATTTATAATTTGGAGCAATTTAATTATGGAGGAAAAAATGCATTAAAATGTTAATTAATCAGATGTTTGAATGAATCTGACTTGAGTGACTTGCTGTGACCTGCTATTGGTTTGAGTTTCATTTTGAGAGTATCATATGTTTTTGTTTTTTAAATCAGTTCATATTTTAATATCCTTTTATTATCATTATTTATGCAATTTTGAAGTTTATTTCTAAATGTACTTTTTGTAATGTCTACTGAATGGTTTTCTCATCTAACACGATGACTTCATCTTTTTGGGGGTGGTTTCTCAGCTAAGATTGATATGTGATTAATTAGATTTATTAACTGGCACATTATGTTATTAATACGAATTAAAAAAATATAGAGCTTAACAGCCCTAATTCAGACCCTTTTTATAAATGTGCAATTGATTTGCTTAAAACGATACGAGTTTCCTTGGAAAAGGAAGGGTTGTTCTTGAGCAGCTTATAGGAATCTGATACTAGAAGCTAACCCATAATGCATTGCGTTGTCCCACCTTTCCTGGTTTTATTCAGCACATTTTACAGGTAGACAGTAATCTGCTCTTTACCCTTCCTGTGAACAAACACAATGCTGTTCTTTCATTCCTCCACTGATGTCAGAAAGAGTCATCGCTTAAGTGACTCATGTATCAATATAGGTGCAAGGTTAAATAATTACATGCTAAGAGGAAGAAAAAAGAAAAATACAGTACTGTTCAAACGTTTGGTGTTGATAGGATTTTTAAAATGTTTTTGAAAGAAACTCGTGCTCACCAAGGCTGCATCTATTTGATCAAAAGTACAGTAAAAACGGTAATATTGTGAAATATTATTGCAATTTAAAATAACTCTATTTAAAAATTCTCTATTTGAATATATTTTAAAATGTAATTTATTCCTGTGAATTTTCAGCATCATTACTCCAGTCTTCAGTGTCACATGATCCTTCAGAAATCATACTAATATGCTGATTTGATGATGTTTTTTGGAAATTCAGCATTCTCCAATGAATAAAAAGTTTATTTAAAAAACATATATATTCAAATAAAAATATCTGAAAGAGAAAAAGGCAATATAAAAGTCTTTACTATCACTTTTGGTCAATTTAATGTGTGCTTGCTGAATAAAATTATTATCTTATATTATCCTATTGATCCTAATCTTTTGAACAGTAGTGTAAATATTATATTTACCCAGCTCTCTAGATATGAGCGTATGCATTAGCCATTTTAATGTTTTTTTTATTTATTTTAATTTTAAATAATGTAGCTGTAACAAATGAGTACTGGACAAAATTGGGGGAAATTAAAACATTTAGCACATCATGAATAAACTAACATTTTTCACACAAGTGGGCACAATTGATGCTGATACACGAAGGACAGTCACTTATAAATATCCACTAGAATAATGGAACTGTTAGTTTGAAGGGTTTTTGGGATATTTCCCTACTGTCTTAATTAGGGCTGTGCAATTAATTGCGATTGTGCATGCCGTAGTTCACTGACAAGCTAGGCAATATCGCGTTCATAATCGCAGATGAATCGCATTCGATTATGAATGTGATATTGCCTAGCTTGTCAGTGAACTACGGCTCTGTGTAGTAAATGCCGCTCCCTCTGAAAGCAGGTGATGGTGATTTACTACTAATCACGGAACCGGCTTTACTGACGAGATGTGCTTAACAATCGCATGCAATTAATTGCACAGCCCTAGTCTTAATCCATTTTCAAGCCACTCGTATAGGTAGAGACTCTCTTGACTGATTATGACATAATGTGCATCTTATCTCATGCTGTAAAGACATTGTATGGTAAATTTGACTGAATGTGCTTCTTGTGTTTTCCAGTGGCTGTCAAAGGCGCTGCAGGAAAATCCCGTGAGGAGCTGACTCTGGAGAAGAAGAGAGAGCTGGAGAGACGACTGCAGGACGTCAGCGGCCAGCTCAACTCCGGCAAGAAACCACAGAAAACCAAAGGTAGGGGTCATTTAGATGTTTCTAAATGATTCAGGTTAATCGAGACACACTGAATAACACGTCTCTGTTTCTGTCTCAGTGGAGAAGCCCACTGGGGTGGAGGCTCATGCCATGGCGTCTCGTCTCAGCGCCAGCAGCTCCAGCTCCGACTCCTCCTCCTCATCCTCCTCTTCCTCCTCCTCTGACACCAGTGACTCAGACTGAAAGAATGGACATCAAATAAAACATGCACTCCATCTCAGAATAGAATAAAGTTCTGCTCTTAGTAACAGTAACTAATGAGGTGTTTAAAGAAGAGCAGTGTTTCTCTTTAGATGTGTAGAAGCAGGTCACAGAGAATTCTGAGAAATGCTGGACGGAGAAGGAACTGACGGAAAAAGCAGACCAGGGCATCGTCCTTTCTGTTAGTCCATCCTTCTTTACTTTGTGTATATACATGTACAAAGATATATAAATATCTATTTTTCTTTTATAAAGAAGAATTTTAAGCAATTCCCTGGTAGGGAAGAAAACTCAAATCTGACTTTTTCTTTTGTAAATATTTTGTTGCTTTTTTTCACTCTCTCTCTCTCTTTTCGTTTGACCTTTTAGTAGTTGGTCCTTAAGAAAACAAAAGGCTTGGAGTGGAAACTGCTGTCACTTTTGTTTGCATGAGTGAGTGTGTGATGTGTGCCATTGAATCCCGTGGTTTCCTATTTACACACTGCACATACATGGATGTGTTGGCGCTTGGTTGTGCATTTGAATGAAAAGAACAAAGCTCCACCTGTTCAAATGGCATCTGTTCACCCAGAAGTTATGAGAACAGGAAGTTACGTCACCAGTCTCTGTCCGATGGGCGAGATCTTGGCTTTAGTGGCGTGTTTAAACTTGAATCTGATAACTCTCCATCCAGCCTGCTTTATTCCCATGGTCAAATGAATGAGTTCAAATCTCCAGTGTTTTATATACAGACATGCAGAATCTTGCTCTTTGAATTCAGCTGGACCACATGAGCATTTATTTTTTTTGGATGCATAAATAATTTTTATGTTCATGTGGTTTCGGTCACGATTTCTAGAGCATAACAGAGTCTTAGATGCACTATGAGAGGTACACAGCTGCTTAATTAGGTGTTGATGTGAATACTGTTTGTAAATCTTGGTTTTTGAGTTTTAGTCTTGTTTTAGTGTGTTTATTATTATTCGCCCAGAGAGTTAATGCACAATTTATGGTTTTAACAAAGTGAAAAACCCTCATATTTAGAAATTAAATACTTGGAAATATAGTTTCAGTTTCATAACACAACAATAACAACCAAATTTGACGCTTGTATTTTTTTTCTTCTTCCAAAATGTGTACATATGTAACAGTTTCATGACCTCGCAGCTTGCATCTGTCAATATGACCTGATTTCTGTTTCCTGCATTTTTGTTTTTCTTTGTTTACTACTGTCCTCAGCTCTTCTCTTTAGTGTTGTGGCTGTTTTTTTCCACAGCTTGTTGTGTATTTTTAAGAAAACAGCAAAACATAACCATGAAATGAAACCTCAAGCTGTAAGCATCATCTCAACCGATGCTTCATGCGATCATTATTCTCATTTGGAAAATGTCACGTTAATAAAGAGGGTGAGATGTCCTTAAAACAAACTTGAGGCTCAGTGTGTTACTTCAGGTGCATGCTGTTTCATTAGCTCATTTCTATATGATTTTCAGTGGAATATTTATTGCATCTAGGCATATTATAGTTAGTTAAAACCATGAAAAAAAATTGCTACTTGAAATAAAATATATAAAAAAAACTTATTTCAGCTAATTGCCAAATTTCTCATTTTCACTTAGTTTATTTTGTACTAAATACTTGAAATTAATAAAACTACAGACATTAAAAAACTAATAAAAATCGCTATAATAGATACAAAACATTTTATATGAGTGTACGTAGGTATATATTAAAATATAAATGATAATTTATTAATGTATTAAACATCTGTAAAAATGCATTACACAGATCAGGATACTATCTTGAGCTACATCAGAAGGTGGCAGTAGTTGTTTTTGTACGCTGAATATCGTCGGTGAGTCAATTAATCCTGTTAGCATTAACATCTGTTAACATTCCCATTCATCTCTGCTCATTTAGCAGAAGCCCTATGGTTGTATGTTGTGCTGAGGTAAGTGTAGAAGTGTACATAAATGTATGCATAGATTGGTTTGTGTTATTTAGGTCAGACAGTAGTTCATTGGGTTGTCAAACTGAGCTAATAATTATTGTGTAATTTAGTTAATTCACACTTGATGCTCCTTAATTTTTATTTTAATTGTAATTAAACATTTTTTAGATGATAGTGGTGTGAAAAGATATTTTAGAACAAGCTCTTATAATTGAAATGTGTTTTAGTAAAGACAAAAAACTTGTTGAAAAAGTGTTTACAGTCGTACTTTTTCTTCCTGGTCTCATGCGTGATTGATACTAAATCATGAGGAAGTATCCATAAGCAGCGAAGCTTATGAATGCTTTCATTATTCAGACTGATATTCAAACGCTCTCCTCAAACAGCACCTGAAGAACAACACAGAGATGAGGACACTCGGACTTGGACTTGTCTTGGTGGGCTTTGCTTTGTGTTGTGTCTCGTCTAAAGGTGAGTTTAGTTCCGTGAAATTATATGAAGACAGGACTGACTTGTAGGACCAGTCTGGCCATTTTATGGTGACTAACCATATGATCAAATACATTTTTAGCTTCTTCTTATGGTTTGTTAAATGTGCATTCCTGTTTGAGCTTTCTAAAACCTCAATCCGGATAAATAAAATGACAAATTGCTGATTTCTGGTTTCTATGGTTCCGTGAAGAATCTTTAAAGGGGCCATGAAATGAGAAATCAAAATTCCCTTGATCTTTTGACATATAAGAGGTCATTGTACTATCAAAAACATCCTGTAAATTACAAAACGTACCCGTTAGTCTAAAAACAGCTAATATTGAAGCCAATCTGCCAAAACGACAGCTTGTGGAATGTGGCACTTTATGATGTAATAGTGTGGATAAGCACCGCCTCTGCAGAAGAAGATCAACGCCTGCTTCTACATCGCTGCCTGTTTAGCCCCGCCCACCCATTTACGCACATAGTGTAAATAACAAGAGAGGCAAACGCAGGTCTACTCTACGCAGAAACCAAACGATAAAGATGCTCCGAAGACAAGACGACTCTTTTAAACAGTCTTTGCATTGCCTTGCTTTTAATCCCAACGTTAGGAAAGAGTGAATTAACTTTATTTTTAGTGAAGTTCCAGACCGCGTCAGTAAGAACTCGGTCCTGTATTCACTTCATTTTACCACAGATTCGTTTACAAACAAGGCAAACAATTTGACGCGGGATTTTCAAAAAGATTGAAACTAAAAGGCGATGCTGTGCCAGCTATACTGGATCCGACAGCAATGCCACAACACACAAATGTGAGGAACTGTTTTCATTACGTGATCACTTTTGCTTTGTCTCTTCTTACAGCTCGTTTGAGATATACTGAGTATCTATGCGTTTCTAACCTAAATCACAGCAGTGTTCATCTGTGAAGGACGTAGGCTGTCAAACACACAACTATTAGCCAATCATAACAGTGGACGTTTACTTCCAAGTCTACATACAATCCACATGATGTAAAATTATGTAAAAAAATCTTGATAACATCATAAGTGGACCTCAGAGAACTGTACAAAATAAAAAACAGAGGCAGTTTATGTCCCCTTTAGCATTCATGGAACCTTTCCAATCCACAAAAGGTTCTTTACAGTGAAAGAAGATTCTTTAGATTATTAAAATGTTCTTTACACAAAGAAAAAAAGTGTTTATTTTAAGAACTGTTTACTGAAAGGTTCTTTGGGGGACCAGAAATGGTCTTCTGTGGCATATTAAACCCTCAAGAACGTATATTAACTGGCATATACTGACTTTATTTGAATAACTGTCTGTTCCCTTCAGATGTTTATGTGTTCCAGGACATCGATGAATGTGAGTTTAGCAAAGAGGATTTGTCTGACATGGTCTACACAGTGAAGCTGGTCTTCAACCAAAAGCTTCTGTGCAGTTATGACTCGAGGTTGGAGAAGTACGTTGGTTCCGATGAGCTTGGGATCAGAAATGCTGAGCATTACAACAATCAGAGCTGGAAGATGAAACAGCGGAAGGAGGAGTTGGAAACAATATGCAGAGCTAATGCCAGACTTTATATCAAAAGCGAAACGAGAAAGGGTAAGCAACCTCAACTCCACACATATTACCTGAGTTTATTAAGCCGGAGTACAAAACTGGAAATGAAAGCAGAGAGTCTGAATTGATTGAAGAGTTGCATCAGTTAAATTTGATGGATTTTTTCTCTTCTTGTCTTCTCACCAGTGCCGCCCGTTGTTACCGTACGCTCCAATAGTAAGGCTCGTTACGGTCAGCTGACCACGCTGGAGTGCCATGCGTACAATTTCTACCCCCAGGCCATCAACGTCACCTGGCTGCTGGACGGATCAGAGGTCACTGGAGACGTGGTCTCTACTGAATTCATGGATAACGGCGACTGGAGCTACCAGATGCACTCGTACCTGGAGCTGGTGCTGCACAGAGGAGTCCCAGTGAGCTGCCGAGTGGAGCACAGCGGTCTGAAGGAGCCTCTCGTCACTCTCTGGGGTGAGACACGCTTGTGATCTGTACTCACTGTTGATTAGATAACTGCTGGAACTCACCAGTGACAGGATGATTATGTGACAATCAATGCACATTTCACATCTGATTCTTGCAGAAGAACTGACCTGTAATCTTATTACTGTTAAATAAAAGTGTTAACTTTTTTTTGTATGTAGATAAAGCTGAAATAAAATAAAATATAAGTAGTACATGAAACAAGTTAAAAGTAAAACTGAAAGAAAAAGTTAAAAGGTAATATTTATAAAAACTAATAAAATGACAAAAGCCCATAACAAAATTACTAAAAATTTAAATAATTTAAAAATAAAAAATGTATTAAGTTAAAATTAACTGAAAATAAAAATAAAAGTGAATTAAAGCTTATAATATGCATAACTATATGAATATAAATAGTATAAAAATATTGTTAAAATTTTGTCCAAGGTTCATCAAATGTGGTCTGGTGCAAAACACTACTAATAATTAAAGTAAATTAAAATGGAAAATACAAAAAAAAAAAAAACTAGCTATTAATTATTATTAATAATAATATTAATAAAAAACATGTAAAATATTAATAATAATATTTCAGTATTTAAATAATATTAAAATACCTATAATACCTTTAATAGTATATAAATAATAGCAAAATAATAGGTGTTTTGTCCATGACTCATCAAATGTAGTGCTAAACAAAATGATTAAAAATTTAACTAAATTAAAATGGAAAAGACAAAAATAAAAACTAGCTAATTATTAATTATTAGTAATAATATAAATAAAAATTATTAAAATATGAATGAAAATATCACAGTATTTAAATAATATTAAAATACCACTGGAACAGTCAAGGCAATAACAAAATTACTAAAAATGTAACTAAAATAAAAAAAAACGGAGTGTCTATTTACACTAAGTGCAAATAGCCCACCTTGTTGGCAGAAGCTATTTAAACTAGCTCCACCCACAAACGTGTGATAGGGATGGTCAACACTATAAAAGACGGCTGGCAATCGTCAGCTTCAGTGGCGTAGATGGTAAAGTGCGTATCGTAGTGTTTTTGACGCGATTGACCCGGGTATCCGCCTTTTACCGAACTTTTTTTTCTCCCTTCAAATCTCATATCACATCGGAAAGGCATTTATTTTCAATAAAAATTACGGAAATAATCAAAAAGTTGAAAATAAAGTATCGGGTATGGTTAGGGTAGGTGTAGGGAGGGCTTTTTTGTCCCAATAAGGTGGCATCTATTTAATAATTTGAATTAAAATGATAATTTACACTCAATACGTTATTACTGCATACTGTTTTATAATGTACTACAATACCAAGGTGCAGATAATTGCCACTATTTGCAATAAGTAGTACAAACAGCAGAAAGTCCTGCTAATTTAACATAGTGTAAATAGAATCTATCGCTATTTGCACTGTGTAAATAGCATATATCGCTAAGAAAATATGCTATTTACACTTAGTGCAAATAGCCGCTGCCTAAAAAAACCCTGAAAATATAAAAAAATGAACACTAATTAAAAATAATGATAAAAAAAATTTGAAAAAACTATAATAGTATATAAATAATATTAAAATAACACTGGAATTGAGCAGGTATTTTGTCCACTGACAAGCAACGTAATATCGCGTTCATTATCGGCAATGAATTGCCTGCGATTATGAACGTGATTTTGCGTAGCTTGTCACACTGATCTACGGGTCTGTGTAGTAAATGCTGCTCCATCTGAAAGCATGTGCTGGAGATTTACTACTAATCACAGAAGCGGCTTTACTGACGAGATGCGCATGAAAATCACATTCGATTTTTTGTACAGCCCTACTTGGAAATGACAAGGTATTCTGTCCATTACCCAACAAATGTGGTCTAGTCCAAAGTTTCCATCACTTCCTCTTTTCCTTCTGCAAATACAAAGCCACATCTTTCAAATGCTCCTGTATATGTTTGTGTTCATGAAATAACACTTCTGCCATCATGCTGGAATTACTGTAGAAGTTTCCCGCTTGTTAAATGCATTTTAAATCATGATGTCCAGGTGTTTTTCTTGCATTGCTGGTGTATTGATTTGCATGTACTGTTAAAACAGGTTATTTATATCTGTCACTGGTTGATTGTCTTTCTCTCATCTTTTCTCACGCTCAGACTCGACCTCTCTCGATACCAGAATCACAAAGCTAGCTGTGGGTTGCTCTTTTTTCCTTATCGGCCTTGTTGTGGCTCTTTCTGCTGCATACTGGCACTACAAGAAACAGCACAGAGGTAAACCTCTACCACTATTGGTCCGAAAATAATAATAAAACTATGAAAATATGCAAACACTTTTCTTGTTTCTTCCCCAGGTTTTACCTCTCTTGCCCTCCATTGAGAGCTTTTATGATGTTAAGGGTTGAACCATTGAACATCCACTCTTCTTTTGCATGTGTGTGTGTGTATGTAAATCTTTTATTTCCTCCTGTTGTTGTATATTATTGCTCATTTTAATAAAGACTTAATGGCTTAACTTACCTGTGCATGATTGCCTCTGGCTCATTAACATATCAAAGACCACAGCTCTAAACAAAACATAGGGACAGACAGAAACAATATGCAAAATATATGCCTCAAAATTGCAACAAAATGTCAAAGAGGTTTATAAAATTGTGTGTCTGTGGAAACATGCATATATCTTCAGGGAGTCATTGATGGTTCATTTTTAATCTAATGGTGTTGAATGATATCAATGGAGATGGAAAAGCTGTAACAGCCTCGCAGGACTGTGGTTAATTGTTCTCTTCATTTCCCCAGACGTGTTTCAGAGCTCATTCACAGTCAGTGAGAAGTCAGTGCATTATCACTCCTCAGTTCAAGAGCTCTTTGTGTTAAAGCAGCACTATGTAACTTGTGGCGCTCTAGCGGTTAATAAACAGAACTGCACACATCCCGCGCAAGAACATTCCAACCGGATCTACTTCTCTAAGTGTATGTGTATTGCGATTCACGCAGGTATGTGTTACTCCGCAGCGGTGACGACCCGACCAGGCTACAATAGTCCAAATATAAGCACTTATTATAAGTGTACCGTAGTGATTCGGAATAAGACAAAAACGCAGTTTGGAAGATTAATTCATGATGTACTCGCTCATTATATACATTTAGCAAATGTTGAACACAGAAAAAGTTACATAGTGCTGCTTTAAAGCTCTTCACGACTCCCTGAAGAATTTCAGTAGAGCTATATTTGAGCTAAAAACCTTTTTAATTAACAAAACTCGAGTTTTTTTTTAGATGCAAGAAAGCAAGCAAAATATGTAGAAAAGGAGGCACAGAAATGATATACAAAATAAATATTATTTATAGTTATATTTTTTTGTACTTCGTATTATAATAACTTAAATTATTGCAAATGTAACTATTTTACATTTAATTTTTATTATTATTTTTACAAAAACTCTTGGATTTTATTAAAAAAAATAATTGTAATAAATCGATTGTTATTATTAAAATGTAACTATTTTATATAAATGTAAGACATATTGAGGGTCCCTTGGCAGTTTACAGTCTATTTCAACTGCTTACACACATTTTCAAAACTTTGCCTCTTTATTTCAAAACTTTACACACAAATCCAAGAATTGCACACACAAAATGCAAAATACCTTACATCTCTCGCAAAATGAAGCACTGCATTCAAAATATCACAAACACATCTCAAAAGCAAATATTTGCAAACACCTTTGCCATAATATTAATTCCTGTTAGATTTTTCTGTTACATGGAGAATTATGTGAATGTGTTTTATGAAATTGAAAACTGAGTCAAAGTCCGAGAATTAGCGTGCTGTTTGAGTGTCAGCTTTCAGAAATTGTGTTACAAGTAAATATTTTGTGTGTAAGCAGTTGTAAAAAAATGTAAATTGAGTTATATTTAAATTTAAATATGTTGATATTGCTTTGTATTTTGAACGTTAGCGCCGCAGGTCACTTGTTTTTTTTTTCAGTTGTACACTTCCGCCCTCTTGTGGTCAGTTACAGTATTGCTGGACATTTGTAAATTACTCCAGTGTTGATTTAGTTCCTCAGAGCGATGTATGTAATCTTTTCTCTCGTTTCTTAAATGAATGTTTTTATGTGAAAATAAAATATATTTTTTAAAGCGTTATCTTTAACAATCAAGGACCTTATCACCACTCTCATTACGACAGTAATTGCATGCTTTACTGTTCAGTTCAAGTAAAACGAGTCAATGCAATTCTCGGTCATTTTAACAACTTAATTTCACTGCATTTAATACTCTTAAATTGGTAAATTTGAAAGTTTTCCTAACATCACAAAAAAACTGACGACCGTCGTGTAATATGTACAAGACAATTTATTTCCGTTTTGAATGAAGTTTCTTTGATTCCACGTATTTAATGCACAATAAATAATCGAGTAGTCACAACAGTGAAAGTTTCCACGATGAAACGCAACACAGAGAACAGAAATAAATTATTCTAGCCTTAAAATGACTTTTAATCGAGGTCATTTATACTCAGACGTCCGTGATTGCATAAACATTCAGCTTAAGTTTCAGTTTTAAGTGACATAAATGTGCGCATATTCATTTTATTTTCACAGATCCTTTAAGAAAACACCAGCTTGTGCGAATGCTTTGTCCCATTCATGACTTTGAGGTCATAAACATGAACGGTGTTTTGGCGGCCTCTAGCGGACATCAGTAGCTACTACAACACACTGTACACCAGCAGCGGCCTCTAGCGGACATCAGTAGCTACTACAACACACTGTACACCAGCAGCGGCCTCTAGCGGACATCAGTAGCTACTACAACACACTGTACACCAGCAGCATGGCGGCGTCCTCTCGACTCATATCCAAGCTGACATTAGTGACGGGTGAGATTTAAATACGTTTCATTTGTCTTTATGGCCACCTGTATATTTTTACTGTCTTTTAATTCATAATAACATTTCATAGTTGGACACTTTTGTCATACAAGTCATACAGCTAACGCGAAACAGTTTGTAGATCATGCAAACTGAAGGTTGACTCTGTGAAAACGAATGCAATATTTAAAGCTACAGCTACCATATTGCTTTCAGTATTTATATATCAAACAGAACGCATAAAATGCTTAAGCTTTTTTTTTGTTTGTAACCCTTAGGAATTCGACTAGATTTTTTTCAGTGTAACATCATGCATATTTAGGTTATATGTGACCCTGGACCACAAAACCAGTCATAAGGGTCAATTTTTTGAAATTGAGATTTATACATCTGAAAGCTGAATAAATCAGCTTTCCATTGATGTATGGTTTGTTAGGATAAGACAATATTTGGTCGAGATACAACTATTTGAAAATCTGGAATTTGAGGGTGCAAAAAAATCAAAACATTGAGAAAATCGCCTTTAAAGTTGTTCAAATTAAGTTCTTAGCAATGCATATTACTAATCAAAAATTAAGTTTTGATATATTTACGGAAGGAACCCACATGAAAAAATACTATAGTAATAGTAAATACTATAGTGTTTTTGAGCCATACTATAGTAAAGTGTATTACACTGTATATATTATAGTATTTACAACACTTTGTTAATAAATGCTACAGCATACTGTAGTATTAACTATACTGATAAACTGTAATAAATACTGTAGTATACTTTGTACTACAGTAAACTGTAATGTATTGTAGTATAATATACCCTATAGTTGTTGAAAACTTAGTACATTATTGTTATATTACCACAGCAACTATAGAATTACTACAACAAATGAATTCAAGTACTTTACAATAGTAAATGGTTCAAAAACACTATAGTATTTACTGTAAATTACTGTAGTATTTTTTTCATTGACAAAATATCTTCATGGAACATGATCTTTACTTAATATCCTAATGATTTTTGGCATAAAAGAAAAATCGATAATTTGACCCATACAATATATTGTTGGCTATTGCTACAAATATCCCTGTGCTACTTATGACTGGTTTCGTGCTCCAGGGTCACATACGTCATTTTGTTTCTCCTAATATTTAAATCCGTTTTTGAAAGGTGTTGAAGTTTTTGTGCATATCAGAGATGTGTTTATCGGATGGTGATTTGTGGTGTTTCAGGAGGCGGCAGTGGCATCGGCAGGGCCGTGTGTCAGAGGTTCGCCTCTGAAGGAGCTTCTGTAATAGTGGCTGACCGCAATGAGGAATCAGCCAATCAGACGCTGGAGCTGCTGTCACATGACCTCAAAGGTCAGCAGCACATGGCCCTGGGGGTGGACGTGTCATCAAAGGACAGCGTGGAGAAACTAGTGACAAGTGTACAGGTGTGAGGGACACGTGTCTGTGCCGTTCATAGGCTCTTCTGGAGCTCTGAGGGGTCAAACAATAAAACAGAAAGTTCACATGTTTATTCTTGTTTTATTGCAGCGCCGCTACTTCCAGCCGCCGTCTGTGTGTGTGAATGCAGCCGGGATCACGCAAGATGAATTCCTTCTCAAGATGGAAGAAGAGGATTTTGACAAAGTCATTGAGGTTAATCTCAAGGTACTGCAGTCCAGAGTCTAACTGTAGTGTTTAATTATGAACATGTCACTAATTACAGTCATAGAAATGACCTTTGATCAGTGTTTTACAGAGTGTCTTAGAGCAAGAGGGGATGGGGAAAATACATATATATATATTCTTTTTCCAAAAGTAACACAATCTTACCAGCAAATTCAAGAGTCACACATTTTGTGAAAGAACAAAAAAAAATTTTTTTTAATAAAATGTATTTTCTGCTCACCAAGGCTGCATTTATTTGATTAAAAATACAGTAAAAACAGTAATATTGTGAAATGTTTGTATAGTTTAAAATAACATTTTTCTATGTGAATATGTTAAAATATAATTTATTCCTGTGATGTGCAGCTGTATTTTCAGCATCATTGCTCCAGTCGTCAGTGTCACATGATCTTCAGAAATCATTCTGATATGCTGATCTGCTGCTCAAGAAACATTCATTATTATTATCAATGTTGAAAACAGTTGTGCTGCTTAGTTTGTTGCAACTAAGATGCGTTTGTTTATGATTCATTTATGAATAGAACGTTCAAAATAACAAAAAAATTTTAAAAAGAAAAAATCTATTTAATGCATCCTTGCTGAAAACAAGTATGGATTTCTGTAAAGATTTAAGTTTCAGCCCAAAGTTTTGAATGGTAGTGTGTGTATATAGGCCTATAGGTTTTCCCATCAAACTGTCCTCTTTTCCGTAGTGTTTCTGAGAGCTTTATAAGTACATCTTGACAGTGTGCAGGTCTGTGTCTGATCTTCTGTACTGATGTTGTCTTTCAGGGTACGTTTCTCGTGACTCAGGCCGTCTCGAAGGCTTTAGTTTCTGCAGGCGCTGTGAAGGGCTCTATCATCACTGTGGGCAGCATAGTGGGCAAGGTCACGCATTTAGAGCAATATCATGCTCTATTACATGGATTCATTTTCTCACTGTTTTATTATAGTGGATATTTAACATTTTTACACCACAGGCGGTTAATAAAGTCATAGACATTTTCAGAGCTTGAGTTGCATATTGTGTCTTATGTGTCTGTTTCTTTGTCTGTAGGTTGGGAATATCGGGCAGGTGAATTACTCTGCTTCTAAAGCTGGAGTGGAGGGCCTCACTCGAACCGCTGCCAAAGAGCTGAGCAAGTGTGTGAGCATTTCACTATAATGTAACAGTAACATTTACACACCTGCATTGTATCCATTTTATGTTTTGCTTTAGGGTTTGTGGTCTGCTCACGTCTATGTTATAAGCTGGTTGAGCTCTTTAACTGAAAACAGTTTTATAGAATGAGTTTCTCTTTATGTTCTATATTTTTATATGACAAACATTATTTTGTTCCTTGTAGATTTGGCATCCGCTGCAACTGTGTCCTGCCCGGGTTCATCACTACACCCATGACAGACAAAGTACCTGAGAAAGTCATCGATAAAGTAAGCAAGAATTATAATTTTTTTTAAAGTTTCTTAGATTTTAAAACAGCTTTGAACTTTAGTAAAGGATCTTAAAATGTAATATGATTTATGAATTATATGGTTGACACATTGTCAGACAACATACCACACTAAAGGCCCTTTTATTGTAACTGAGCACTTTTCTTTTTGTTTTTTTTTGTGCAGCTCACAGCAGTCATTCCAATGGGAAGGATGGGAGAGCCTGCTGGTAAATATTTTATCTTTATAGAAAAACTTTTGATTGATGAACATACTCCTATCACACAAAAGAGTGTTGTAATAATTGTTTTGGATTTGATCTCTAATTATATACAGAGTTCTGGCATGAAACTCTAGATGGCGCAGTCCGATAGGTCTAACTCAGTCTGACCTAATGACATCATTATCACATGGCACAGCTGATTGGTTCTCTCCTGTATCGGTAGCCAATGAGCTCGCTGCTCAACATTCAAATATATGACTAGTGCTTGCCGTAGCAGTTGCAGCTTGCTTCAGAAACCCTCCACCTTCCCCAGCTCCACCTGTATAGGTCTGCTACGAGGTGATTCATGTATGTTATATTTGCAGCAGCAATATTTCTTACATGTTCACAGCAGCATGTTGTGGATGTATCGGCAGCAGCAAGCCTCTGTACTTGCTCTGCCGCAGCAGCAGCAGCGTAGCAGATCTATTCCGCCAAGACCAAATACATTAACATTGTCATGTACATTACCATGCCAATCCCTCCGAGAGTTGTCATGACAGAAATATAAATATCTATTTCTCAACCTTGCTTGTCTGTGCAGAAGTAGCTGATGCATGTGCATTTCTGGCTTCTGATGACAGTCGATATATTACTGGAATCAGCATTGAAGTTGCTGGTAAGACGCTTGATCTCTTGCTGAACAGCAAGATGTGTAATTTCGTTCTCAGTGTGTTTTGAACTGACATGGAGTTTTCTCTTTATCAATACAGGTGGACTCTTCATTGGCTGAAAACTGCTGAATGACACTAAACTGATCACCAACTCTGTGCCTTCATCTTTAATCTCAAATTATGCTTAATTTCTGTAGAATATTGTATACAATGTAACAAATGGAAATGAAAATTCTATATTTAAAGTGTGAATATTTTATACTGTGAACCCACTTTTAAAAAACAATTAAGTTGACACAGGAGGAAATGTGTTGATGTGTGGTTTAATGGGAACGTTTGGACCAAAACAACATCAAGTCAAAGAATTAAAACAGTTAACATTTCAAAACTCAGACTAATAGAGTGAATCAAAATTCATCATTTAAAAGGGTTTTAAGAGTTGTTTGAAGGAAAGTGGCCAGATTACATATTGTGGTTTTTCTGAGACACAAGAAACGTGCTGTTAATTTGCTGAAAAGTGAAAATGGGAGTTTGGCTCAGAAGAGTGACGAGGCAGATGAAATATGAGCAAAAGCACCATGACAACAGGAAACAAACGGGGAAAAGAACAACAAAGGAGTCCAACAGCTCTTTAAATAGATTATATATTACACAAACAGATTCTGAAGTACTTACATAAAACACGTTTTAGCACCATATTTTATAAAGACAGATGTTTGTCTTTCACCGACAAAAACAATCCTCGCAGTATTGTCCTTGTGAGAAAACCACACAAACAACTTTTAATTCACAAATAATTTTTATAGCTTTTCATTCCCCGCGCCATGTTTTAAAAAAGAAACAAAAAATATACATAAAAAACAAACCACCATCAGTTTCCTTCCCTCTCCTTCCTCTTCCTGTCCCTTCTCCACTGCTGTCTGAATCTCGAGACATTTCGGTCGTTTCGGTCTCCACCTGCACCAAACTCTCCTAAACCTCAAGCTGTGACGTAAACGCATTGAAATAATGCAGCGAGAGCTGATATCACCAAGTGTACACACACATATATATATATCATACAGAGAAGGCAGATTTGCATTCTGGGGTTTAATTTACATATTTAATAGATGAAAAAACTACAGAGGAATACCACATTATTTTGGACTGCAAGTGTTGGACATTTTCTTGTGAGCACCTGTTTGTTTCACAAAATAAATACAATAAAATATTTCTGTACAAATGGTTCGCATGCACAATTCCAGCCTGAACACTGTCCACACGAAAGGTCAAAGGTCACAAACCCATGGGTTTTGTTGCGGGTCAAAATAGCACAATGTTGAAAGTGTGTCCGAAAAAAAAAAAAAAGGAAAATTTTTAAAGGCCTCTGTAATGAAACAATAACCAGCTTATTTACGTTCACCAAAAAATACTGGACTGGTAAATTGGCAGCATGTTCACGGCATGAACAAAAATATCGAAAATTCTTACAGATTTTATCGTTCTATAATAAATGTGCAACAATATCAAATTCAATACAATTTCACACTGTAAATGGCTTTTGATTGCGTATGTTGATGACAGCTGCTGGTGTGATTTGAAATCGTTCTAATGGAACTTTCACGCTCGGCTTCCGTTCCTCAGTTTAAATGTTGCACCTGCAGATCATTCTATTTTGTTAATGTAAGGAAGGAAGGAAGCTTTGCATATGGGAAGAGTGGGATGTCTCAGAAGCGGAACAGTGGGGAGGGGATCTGTAGGAGAGAGAGGGGGCCGAAACAGGAGGGTCTTCCGCTTTAGGCCAGCAGTATCTGCGCCATCACAGAACATCTTCTCTTCTCTCCTGCGAGAATGGCTCTCTTCTCTGTTGCTGGGAGTGTTTTTCCCTGGGCGTGTACTTTGTGTGCAACTTTGTTTCACAACAATGTGTGTGTGCATGTGTGTGTGAATCTATGTTTCCTGCTTCTTACACGTGATTTCAAATGTCTTTATTAGTGTTGGCACATCTCTATGTGGTGATATTTATGTCTAGGTTTTAAGTGCATGATTAATGAGTGTGTGTGTGTGTGTGTGTGTGTGTTCTCGTTTGTATCTGTGATTGTATTCCCCTTGCCCTCAGCATGTGTGTGCTTATCCCAGGAAACAGACAGGTCCCACTTCAAAAGACAGCACTAGTATTTATATATGCATAATAAATATACACAGTACAAAAACATATTATGTAAACAAAACTTTTATTTTGGATGCGATGAATCGTTTGACAGCACTAACTTTTGAAAACAATATTGCATTTTGGTTTCTAAAAACAAACCTAAAATAAATTGTGTAATCAATACATGAGGTGCAGTTTACATAAAAACCGTTAGTTGTTTAGCAAACTATTTTTGCACTTGATTTCATAAATCAGATCAAACTACAAAGTTTGTAAAGGTTTTTAACATTTTTATTTTATTTATCCTTATTTATTTATTTATTTTAAACATTCTGAATAAATTTGGTGCTTGTATAATTCTTGCAACAGTAATCATATACACTACTATTCCATGTTTGGAGTAAGATTTTTTTTAGAAGAAATTAATACTTTTATTCAAAAAGGATTCACTTCAACTTGATCAAAAGTGACAGTAAAGACTATAATGTTACAAAAAAAAATATTTCAAATAAATGCTGAAAACAAATGTTTCACTGTTTCCACAAAATCTGAAGCAGCACAACTGTTTTCAACATTAATAATAATCAGAAATGTTTCTTGAGCAGCAAATCAGCATATTAGAATGATTTCTGAAAGATCATGTGACACTGAAGACTGGAGTAATGATGCTGAAAATTTTGCTTTGATCACAGGAATAAATTACATTTTACAATATATTAAAATAGAAAAGAGTTATTTTAAATTGTAACAATATTTCACAATATTACTGTTTTTACTGTATGAGCAGAAGAGCTTCTTAAAAAACATGAATGTTACCGACCACAAACGTTAAAAAAGTTGCATTAAATAATTGTAATTTAATGCACATTTAATGAATCCAATGTAAAAACAATATTATGTTCATGACCTAAAATCCTTATTATAGTGAAATTATGCTAGTTTGTATTTAGCATACAATCATACTGCAGTCTCTCGTCTGTTTGTTAGTTTTTAATCAGGATGAGGTAACTTACAGAGCAGCCGTCGACGAGGGCTTTGATGTAGGGGCTGGTCTCGTAGCTGAGCTCTTCATCGTTGGCACCCTGGAAGTGTAGCGCCCTCTGGTAGCCGCTGTTGGCAGTGAGGTCCGCCCAGGCCACTGATCGCTGGCAGTGGTAGGTCAGGTTTTGACGAGCCTGAATGCTGAGCAACCGCAGGAATCCCAGCTGGACAACACCCACGGGCTCTCCACTCCAGTCAACATATGAAAACTACAACAAAAAAGACAACATTATATCATGATTCACAAAATAATGAACTCGACACTGTAATATTTCTTAGATTTTATCTAAAAAAACATTCACACTGAATTAATTAAAAATGAATGATTTCTAGATGCAGTGTCACTGCAAATCACTCTCAATGTGAATGCGCTTTAAATCAATAGTTCACCCAAAAATTACAATCCTGTCATTCTTTTCTCACCCTCAAGTTGTTCCAAACCTGTATGTTTTTTTCTTCTGTTGAACATAAAAGAAGATATTTTGAAGAATGTGGGTAATCAGACACTTGCTGGTCCCCATTGACTTCCATAGTATGGAAGTCAATGGGGACAAGAAACTCTTTGGTTACACACATTCTTCAAAATATCTTCTTTTGTGTAAATGTTGACAGAATTTTGGGTGAAGTATCAATTCAATAAAGAGCTTCTGGTTCATTGATGCACATACTTTGCCAAATTAAACATATGAATTGAAGAGATGATTTTGAAGAGTTTTGAGGTGATAAACTCACCTTGCTGCCCTTTGCAAACTGACTAAACCAGGACCCAGGCTTCTCCTTTGGCCAAGTGTTCATCTTCACCTATGGCAGAATTTGGGACTCGTAAATTCAGACCAATCCAGATTTAATAAGTCTTAGTGATGTTGCAGTAAAACATAAACATATAAAAGTGAATGACAGCAAGTTCTTACATTTTCCACAGCTTTGCTGGGATACAAGCACGTCTCTCCTCCGGCAGTGAAGTTACAGTAAACCTTGAACGAGTCCCGAGCGCAGCCTTGATTTGGATCAATCCAGTACTCGCCTGAATAAAAGAATAAGAATGATTCGAATGCAAAATGGCTCTCCATTGGTTATGGAATGTGTCAGTCACATAGTAACCATGACGATCGTACCGTCTTTCAGATCTGGTTGGCTGAGGTGGAGGTCCTGGCAGGTGCGGGCCGGGCTTTCCTGTGTTCCCAGCGGGAAGCGCATGCTCTCGATCTCCTGGCGCAGGGAATTGAGCGAGCCGAAGATCTCCTCCATTCCTTCATTACCGGTCAGGAACTCTGCGCCCGTGCCGTCGGCAGCCTCAGTGTCAGTCTCAGAGAGCATCTTACTGCCGTCGACGGAGCGCTTGGACTTCTTAGGGATCTGAAAGGGCAGCGGCTGGATGACATCTCCAGGGGGTCCCTAAAGAAAAAGGAGAATAAAGTTGCATTTCAAGGAACTCTGGGATGCACTGATCTCTAATTTGTCTTGAATGAAGTTCATCTCAACAAAATAATTTCACTGCCAAATGATGATTGTGCATTTGGTATGATAGATAACAGATATAACTCACAGGTGGTCCTGGTGGTCCTTGTACACCCTTTTCTCCTTTAGGACCACCTCCGCCCTGAACCACAGAGAGAAGACATACAAAATTAGTGTCATTTTAGTGTAAAGTCTAAGACATGTGACCTATGTATAATACTTTATTTAAACACTACCTCACATAATATGGCTCATGATATACTTTTCACACAATTATACATATTTAAGGAAGGAATACTCACAGTGGCACCTTTAGCTCCTTTGATACCCCTCGGACCCTGTGAGAAACATCACATCCATTCAGCTTTAATCCAAGACACCAGTGTTTTGAGATGATATATTTTGGTGCGTCAGTACTCAAGTTGAGTACTCATAGTTTCAAGATTATTTAAAAGGTTTAACAAAGGATTGAGCATGAAGAATCAGTGCCGTCAAGTACTTAAGACACATTCTCCACAAAATACGGTATGATAAACAGCTCTACTAAATGGCAGTGAAAGTTTACTCACAGGCATACCAGCAGGACCTGCAGGACCAAGAGGACCAGTTCCTCCAGACATACCCTAAAATAAAACACATTAAGAAATAAGGGGAAAAAACATGGCATTTGATGATATGAAACAGGATATGAACTGGGAAAGTTTTGCATGTACACTACTGCTCAATGGACAGATTTTTAAGGTTTTTCAAAAAGTCTCTTCTGCTCACCAAGACTGCATTTATTTGATAAAAATACAGTAAAAACAGTAAAATATTCTTAGAATTTAAAATAACTGTTTTCTATTGTAATATTTTAAAAAATGTAATTAATTCCTGTGATCAAAGCTGAATTTTCAGCATCATTACTCCAGTCTTCAGTGATCTTCAGAAATCATTCTAATATGCTGATTTGCTGCTCAAGACACATTTCTTATTATGATCAGTGTTGAAAACAGTTGTGATGCTTTATATTTTTTTGGAAACTTTGATACATTTTATTTCCCAGGATTCTTGAATGAATAGAATTGAATCATTTGCAACATTAAAAATGACTTTACTGTCACTTTTGATCAATTTAATGCATCCTTGATGAATCAAAGTAATTTTTTATAATAAAAAATCTTACTGACCCCAAACCTTTAAACAGTAGTGTATATTTGTGGTCTGATTTCGATGTGCGGAGGACGTGACCAGACATCACATACCGTTTCTCCCTTGGGTCCTGAAGATCCCTGTGGTCCAGGCATGCCTCGGTCTCCCTTCTCTCCTTGTTCTCCTGGGGGCCCAATCAGACCAAGCATACCTGGATGTCCCTTCTCACCCTTAGCACCGGGGTCACCACGAAGCCCTGCCAAACCTGGAGGACCCTGTATTCAATATACATACATATATCTCATGAAACTGTAATAATAGTTCACTTCTTAGTGTAAGTGTTTCAGGAATCAATACTTGTATATTGCATACACTGATAGTACAGTCTTTTTCCCTAACCTGCACCTCCATAAGGTGTGTGTTTGCTGTAATGCTCGAATACAGAGGATCTTACCATTGGACCAGGAGGTCCCTTCTGGCCAGCAGCACCTGGAGCACCTTGCTCACCCTAAATAATATTATCAGTTATCAGAAGATCATTTTGGTAAACACTATATTAGCTATTGGTAAATAAACAGATTAAAAACGCAATTCCAATATCTTACCACTGTTCCAGGCAACCCTCTTAGACCCTCAGTTCCTGGTTTTCCTGGTTGACCCTGTGGCCCCACAGGGCCTGTCTTTCCTGGAGGGCCAAGGGCACCTGAATCCCCCTAAAAAACATGTAACATGAGGACAAAAAAACTACAGAAAGCCTGCTTATTTGTTGCAGCTGTATTTCCTTTAATTTACATAGTCCTACCTTGCTTCCCTTCTCTCCCTGACGACCCTCCGGTCCCCTTGTGCCTGGAGGACCCTGAAATATGAACATTAAATATGTCCAGAAATATGCATTTTTCTATTCGATCATGCATACTTTTTGTTTTTGTAAACCATATATGTAAATACATCTTACCCTCTGTTACAGTGAAATACACCATCAATGATCCGTTATACAACAATACAGAGCTTACAAATGAACATATGATGGTGGTAATGTTGGGCTGTTGTAAAATAAGTTAATCTTACTCTCTTTCCTGGAGGTCCAGGTGGTCCGTTCTCACCGGTTGGTCCAGGTGAACCCTAAAGCAATGCAAAAATAGTGCTCAGTGTATCCTGAGAAATACCTTATAAGTATGCATAAGGAAGATGTGCTCTATAGGAGGAAGATCACTCACAGCTTCTCCTTGTTCTCCATCCTCTCCTCTTTCACCCTTTGCTCCATCTTGGCCCTGCAAAGAAGATCAGAAAGAAAGTCAAACATTTTTTCTTGCACTGATGAATCATATACAATAAGACCAGGAACATGTATGAAGAATGGGTCAAATTCAATTTCATGTTGACTTTACGCAAATCATGTTTAATTATATAAATGAAAGCTCTACTCACTCGTGGTCCAACTTCACCTGGGGGACCGGGATCACCAGGGAAACCAACAGGACCCTTGAAAACACAAAAATCAGCTGCTGAAGAGTCACACACAGACCTGTTTCTCATTTCAAAGCTTAGTCACGTTTAGCACATACAGGGTTTCCTTTGGGTCCGTCATCTCCATGGGGTCCTTTTCCACCAGCAGGACCAGAGGTGCCCGGCTGCCCAGCCTCTCCCTTCTCACCACGTTCTCCTCTCGGGCCCTGCCATCAGATAAGCAAACCAATAAGGTGTTAGCTATTTTACATCTATTAAATAAATAAATATAAATGTAAGCATTTTGCACAGGTTCAGAGGACAATTAAAATGTTTTGACTAAAATTCTCACCATTTTTCCTGGCTCTCCACCAAGACCAGGTGGTCCGGATTCACCAGGCTCACCCTGTCAATACAAATAAAACGACGTCAAGTGCCATCAATCAGATTTGCTGATCTTGTCAATAAAAGTCATTATTCATGCAGAAAGTTGAACTCTTTTTTATACTTGCCTTCTCTCCTATGGGACCTGGATTACCCAAACCTCCTGGAGGACCTTGAGGACCCTGAAAAATTAAGGATGTGCATTAAATTAGACAAAAAATGCCTAATTTACTGACCACAGAATGCCATGATTGACCAATCTGAATAAAGTATTCCAGAGAGTCATTGTTTAGTGATCATAAAACATATAATAATGAACTGTCATCATTTGTAAAATTATTATTCATAGTGCAAATTATGGTACTTACATCAGCACCATTAGGACCAGCTGGACCACGTGGACCTGGGGGACCAGGAGGACCCTATAGAAATACATAACCAGAAAACATTCGGACATGCAGGCATCATATGTATTAATTCTAAGGGTGATTCTAAAACATCATATGTTGCATTATACACATCAATTGCACCTTTAACTGCCTTTAAATCAAAATATTCAGACTCACCATTGGACCAACATCTCCCGTCTCTCCTTTTTCTCCAGCTGGGCCTGGCAAACCCTAAAGATGTGAATGAAGTACAAATAGCTAAAACATCCAGTCTGCAGAATTTAATTGGTAGGAGTGAATAAAACACAATCTGAATGCAGCACCTGCAGTCCGATGGGGCCTGGAGGACCTGGGAACCCTCTTGTCCCATCATCTCCCTTAGCGCCAAATGGTCCCTGTTGACCTCTAGCACCTGTCTCACCATCAGCACCCTGAGAAGAGATTCACACAAGCCAATATAACCTTTTGACTAACTGTGAATAGTAGCATGAATTTGTGATCCCATTAGTTTGCATTAAATCACACTTACAGCTGCACCAGGCTGTCCAACAGGACCCATTGGCCCAAGTGGACCAGGAGGACCCTGTAAATATGCAAATAATTGATTATATATAGATATTATGTCCACCAAAACAAAATATAATAATGCAAGAATTTCACATTTTAAGACCAACTGAAATGGCTTTATACACTTTTATTAGTTGACGCATTCTGTTGAAACAGGAAGCTCATATTTGTTTCTTGAACATTATGATTTCACAAGCTGAACGCTCATTTACTCACATGTTCTCCCTTGGATCCTTTAGCTCCCTTTTGTCCTGGCTCTCCAACCTCACCCTATAGAAATAACAATTCAAATTTACATTTGTCAAGATCATCCACATAACTGCGATGATTTGAGACTGAGATATGAAGATGTCGCTGACCTTGTCTCCATCCTCTCCAGCAGTACCTGGAGGTCCAGCAGGGCCAGGGAGACCAACTGGGCCTTGGATGCCGTCGCGACCAGCTGGACCAATTGGACCTTTCTCTCCCTGTAAAACAGGGTTATCTTGTTTGACAGGCCTATATATAAATCCGTATTAGAGATAAGGTGCAAACCTAGAGTAGACACTTACTGGCACTCCCTTCTCTCCCGCAGCTCCAGGGGGCCCCTGAGGTCCAGGTCGTCCAGGTGGGCCGACAGTACCTGCGGTGCCAGCTGCTCCTCTCTCCCCAGGTGATCCCTGCATAGAAATTCAGTTAGGGTAACATACTGAAAGACCATCATTTAATTTCTTAATTCCTCAAAAATAAGATCATAAACCTCTGGGAATTATTATTTATCATTATTATTTCATCCTAAAATTAAAAAAAAAAATCATAATTTTCATAACAACTAAGCACATAATTTATTCTCTCTAGCACACTGTAATGTGAAAATAGAGTTATCATTATGAAAAATATATTTTGTAAAAAAAATTATAATATTATTTAAATCATATACACATTGCAATTGCAAACAAGTACAGTATACATTACAGTATTGTATTTATTATACTACCTTTAATTTATGCTAATTTAAAATAAAACAATTAAATGATTAATATATAGCGATAAAGATTGTCATTAAAAAGGCTTTATTTTATGCAGAATATAATTTCTTATATTTCCTTTTGATTTTGGTGTGAAATATGAGCGATATCAATATGAATTCATAAGTTAGTGGGGTACTAATCACTAATTAATGTGTATATACTCTTAAAAACAAAGGATGTTTTTGCAGTGATGCCATAGAAAAACTATTCTGAGTTCCCCAAAGAACCTTTCAGTTCTTAAGAGAGCCATTTTTTCTTAAAGTGTGAAGAACATTTTATAATCTAGAGAACCTTTTTGCAGTATAAAAAACCTTGTGTGCAATGAAAATGATTTATGGATGTTAAAGGTTCTTCATGGAACCATAAATAACAAAAAGGACCTTTATTTTTAAGAGTGTATCTACTTGACATTTCAGATTCTGGTTATTATGAGCAACATACAGCAGGCCCGGGTGGTCCAGCAGGGCCTTCATTTCCTTTCAGTCCTCCAGTGCCCTATGAAAACACAAAGGTACAGCTCAGTTAGGTATAAAACATTTATGTGCAGTTTTAAAGTCGGTTGACAAAATACATTTAGAAAAGGTTTTATACAATATAAAATTCACTAGAATGGGTGAGACTTATTACTGGAGTTCCTGGCAGTCCTCTCTCTCCTGGGAATCCTCTCAGTCCAGGGGGTCCGTCTTTACCGGGGCCACCGGAGGGACCGGGATCTCCTTTGGTTCCCTCTTTACCAGACGGCCCAGAAAGACCTTGCTCACCGGGTGGTCCTGGGGGTCCTGAGTGACCACGCTCACCCATCGGTCCAGTCTCACCAGAGGGACCCTAAACAAGAACTAGACTTGAGTAAAGCTTGTACAGTTCCATACGTTTTTGAATTGATTTGAAAGATTTATTGATTTTTGAGGAATTTTATTAACAATTTCTCGAGAAAGAAACCCATTTTGCTTGATAAAAGCACAAAACTCACCTGTGGTCCAACAACTCCCGGTGGCCCAGGTGGTCCAGTTTTGCCTTGGAAACCCTAAGAATGCAATGTGAAAAATATATGTTGCTGTTTAACTTTGATCACAGTGAATTTTGTACTTTAGATGATAAAAATGAAAGATACGTACAACTTCGCCTCTCTGTCCAGGGTGTCCAGGCAGTCCATCTTTCCCTGGAGGTCCCTTCAAAAATCAATCGACATATCAATAAGCAATAGAGTAAAACGAAAGTTTTTAAGCATCAGATCAAACTAATAAACTGTTCCCTACAGGAGGTCCCTTCGGCCCAGGGAATCCATTTGGACCTTGAAGTCCAGTTAGTCCCTGAAAATATGCAGAAACATTATAAATAAATTAAAGCTGAAGCAAAAACCTAGACTGAAAGGTTTTAAATAAATAAAATAAAATTCTGAAATAAACATACTCTCTCCCCAGGTGGTCCAGAAGGCCCATCACTGCCAGATCCGCCCTAAAACATCAGAACGTAGAAATTGATTGATTGAAATTAATTGATCTTTATTGTCATTGTTGAAAAACTACAAAAATTATTTGAGCAGCTCCTCAAACTATGTCCACTATGGCAACAATGAAAACTAAAAATAGCAATAAAACCGAAAATAATTTTGAATTAATCTCATACCTTAGCACCTGATTTTCCAGTTGCCCCACGGGGTCCTCTCTGCCCTCTGGGACCCTAAAAAGATTTTTTTTTTTAAAAAGAAGAAGTCTTAGAAAATCATTGCGCATTGCTTTAAGTCAACTGATTTGAAATCTGTCATCTGCTTGAATCAAAACTCGCAACTTTAATCTACAAAACAAATCAGACCAACAAAAAATGTTTGTTTAAAAAAGTGACGAATTAAAACAGGCTCTTACTGTCGGCCCTCTCTGTCCTCTTGGTCCAGTTTTTCCAATCAAACCCTGGAAAGAGAAAAATCAATTCAGAATATTTCAGCATCATCAATTCTTTTCCAAAATAAAGGAAGATTTTCTTTTAATTAATTTTTAATGTGAATGAAGGACTTTACTCAACTTTGACCTTTAATGCAGACCTTGCATTGACATCCCTGTGACCTATAAATGCTTCTACTGTAACTGTTGAATTTTAGTCTAATTTAGTTGAACAATTCTTACCCTCGCGCCTTTCTCGCCATTTGCACCAGGGAATCCTGGGAAACCCAGGGAGCCCTAAAAATACAAGAATTACATTGATTTAAAAATGCATTCAATTTGATTAAACACCTGGCTATATATCTTATGATGCATCATAAACAATATTATTTTTTTTGTTTACCTTAATTCCTTGCCTTCCGGGATATCCAGGAAGTCCAGGCACACCAAGTTTACCCTGGATTGGCATAATTTTGTACGATTTAATACATCTTTAGACCAGCAACTAAAATATATTAATTGTTATTAAATAACAAACATAACATTTATATTAATTACAGCTTACTGTCAATATTAATGGCAATGTAAAACGTAGCTTATATATATAATGGAACAAATTAGAAATCATGACTCATTTTGCATAATCAAACTAACCTTCTCTCCCACCAGGCCGATAGGACCAATTTCACCAGGAGGGCCGACACGACCCTTCGGCCCCTCAGGACCATCCTCTCCTCTTGGGCCAGGCACTCCCACCTCTCCCTGATGGTGCACAACAAATCTCAATGGGCAGTTGAAATGGGTCAGTAAAGTCAAGTGCTTCATTACCATTTACTATCATTTTACATTTGTGCTAAATCACGTTAATGGATGAGCTTCTATCCACTGATAATTTGTAATATGTAAGACATACCCTCTCTCCCTTCACACCAAAGTCTCCTTTGATTCCAGGGAATCCGTCCTCTCCCTGAAAGTAAAGTAAAAAAAAAAAACATTTAGCACTGATTGTTACATATAAAACTGTAGCACAAAATGGTTTCGGTTTATGTTTAAACTTGATGTTTTGGACCAAAAACACTCACCTTCTCTCCCTTATGGCCCTTCAGTCCACGGATACCTTGAGCTCCCTGTCATAAAACATTTAGTCTGTTATCTTAATCTGAGTCTTACACGTGAAAGCAGATATCAACTATCAACAGCCATTACCAATACATAAAAATCTCCATAGACAGAACTGCATATAAAAATGACACAGACAGGGCCTCATGGGACTTAATGTCCTTTCTACACCCAGAAAAAATTCAACACACCATTAGAGACTCTGTTAACTCATTTTACAACATGTGGAACCCTGTCCTTTCTTTTGTTGAAACTGTATCCTCATTAGAGATTTGTATTTTTATTTTTTTAGTTCCTGTGGGTTAATTTGGGATAGGTAGGGTAAAGAGTGTTGTTCTGGTTTCTTGTATAATTTTATTCATTTTTCACTATACCTGTTAAAAAAAGAAAATTACAGTTTGTGTTGTTTATATTGTATGGCATGCATATATTGTCATTTTACAATCTGTTTAATAAAAATATTGCAAAAAAAAAAAAAAAATCTACAGGGTGATTAAAGGATTTTTTAAAGATTGACCTCCATAATACTTGCAATGATCAAAGCTATCTGCATCCAAACTAATTAAAGAAGATATATATTTTACCTTAATTCCCCGAGGGCCAGGATAGCCAATAGACCCCTGAGGACCATTAGGACCCTAAATATGAACAAGAAAAATAAATGTCAACATATGAACACGCTGGGACTTATGAACATGTCTGCCCTGAAAATGTCTGTCTATATATCTAACAAAGATATGTATACATATATATTTGTTCTGTAGCTGATTACAAAAGTGCACAAATGCAGAAAACATACAAATAGTTTTGACACAAATGTCATTTAATTTATGAAGTTATAAAGAGAATTCTACTTTGCATTATCATATGGCCTCACCTGATTTCCTTTGGTTCCAGTGGGGCCTTCCTTTCCGGGATGACCCTGTTAAGACATGAACAGCATATTCTTTATTCTTTACCACAGGTAAATAACCACATACATGTCTTCTGTAACCATTTTGTTTTGCCTTATTAAATAAACTGACAATTGGTCTAAAATGATTAATTCACATAAACTATAAGATGTTAAAACACCGAACCAACAGGCTTATTTTGAATGTGAAATAAACCCATCTTGCACTCACTGGAGGACCGTCACCTCCGGGCATTCCTGGTAGACCAGGCTTTCCTGTGGGCCCCTTTAAGAAGACATACAAAATGTAATTATAATTGCATACTTGAATACTCGATCTCAGAATAAGACTGGACATGTATGCAGACTTCAAAGTGGTAGGTCTCTAAAGCACTTTCATTGATTATTGATAATTATAGCTTTGTGTTCCACAATTATAAAAACACTCACTTTCTCTCCTGGTGGTCCAATAGCACCCTGTGGACCTGCCATTCCCTATGACACAGAAAACAATAATATTTAATATACTTCACTATGATTTTGTACATTTGTCATTCATTTGTAATAGACTCATTGTTCACCTGTGTTCCTGGAGCCCCCTGCTGTCCTGGAGGACCAGGCTCTCCTTGAGGCCCCTTAAAAAAGACAAGGAGAATTAGGACATATACTGTCATATACTGTTTTTTTTTTTTTCTGTTACATTTTCTGATTGCTGTTGTTATGAATATTTAACCTGTTACACACATATGCCAATTATTGCATATTTTTACACTGTTCAAGAGCGTGCACAGAGTAGTCAGAGTGCATTAGGGTAATGTTAAAGAACACAAAGAATTTGAAGTCAATGAATGTCAAAGAATTTACTGACCAAGCTTCCTTTTGGACCATGTGGACCATCATTTCCACGAACACCCTGGCAGAGGCAGATAATATGGAGAAATTAAAGAAAGATCTGGACATCCCTATACAAATATTTCTTTTTCAAATCTTCCATTTTTATGGAAGTTGCTGTGCAGCCATTGCCATTTTAAAAATGTACATTTTATTATGCAGTATTTGTGGTTGAGCTTTCAATGAATACTCACAGGAGGTCCAGGAAGACCAGAAGGCCCTTTAGGCCCCAGCAACCCACGGGGCCCCTATAGAACAAGAAAGAGGTTCATCAAAGAACGTACAAAGAAGTCAAATAAGTAGCCTTACAGATTTTAAATTGGACTACAAAAGCAATTTATACAGGTCAGTACTATCATATACACTGTCATATGTGTGAGAAACAGATAACCCACCGGTTCGCCGGGAAGACCTCTAGGTCCAATGTCTCCATCGTCTCCCTGACGATTATCAAGGTGGAAGAGGACAATTAGAAAAAGTTCACTTTTTTAGTTTTATAAAGATGATGATAGATAATCAAGGAAAAAACGATCAACAAAGATCACAAGGATGTTCAGGCAACGTAGATCATATTAACTATTGTTAATTTACTGTAACAGTACAAAATCCTTGAGAAGTACCCTTTCTCCGTCCTCTCCAGGGGGTCCTGTGGGTCCCATTCCTCCAGTTTGACCCTTAAAAAATAAAATAAATAAATAAATGAAACATTTTAATATTATTATGTAACTTATGTTAGCTATGTTCCAAAATCCAGCGAAACCCCTGCTGTCTACTGTTTACACATTGGAAGCTGCATTCGATTTTGGCCAAAAAAGGTATCTGTAATTACACTGCCTTAAAAAAAGGTCACTATGTTTTGAAACAGGGCTTATGAAACATTAACAACGATGTTAAAAAGTGTGAGCACTTACACGATAACCCTTGTCACCAGGCAAACCAGGAAGGCCATCAAAGCCACGGTCGCCCTAATACAGAAAATCATACACATACACGACTTTACAAACCACAGACGCTGCTCAAAAGACTCAAGGTCAAAGTGATTTCTATGAAGACGTTTCAGAGCTGGAATAACACAAATGAATCACACACAGAAGACAATTTTAACCAAAAAGGGTTAAGATAGCCGACCTTAATTCCAGGCTCTCCTGGCATCCCTCTGGCTCCATCAGCACCAGCCCGACCCTGCAGGAAATATCAAATATAAGCAACTAGATTATTTGATTTTTTGAGGGCAACGCAAGTGGTGCCACCAAGATGCTAGGATGCGGTTGCTAGGGTGTTCTGGGTTATTGCTAGGCAGTTTTTTTTTTTTACTGTTTTGAAGTTACTGTGATATTCTGGCCCATAAATAAGGCCTGTGTCGAAGTAAACCTGCATGTTTTGTTTTTCATTAGTCATGAACACTGTAGTGGACTCACCCTCCGACCAGATTTACCAGGAGGACCAGACAATCCATGAGGACCTCTGGGGCCCTGCAAAAACATAATAGGGATGCATGATAAATTAGAAGGCTGTCTCTTTATATCCAAGATATTTATACATTCTGAATGTCCTGCTAGTGTTTCTTAAGGTATGGCTAAAAATTATAATGTAAGAAATCCCAAATCAAGGACTTTACCTGAGGACCATGGTCCCCACTTTCTCCCCTTAAGCCAGGACTTCCAGGTGTTCCCTATACAGGATCACAACATCAAAATGTAAGCACTTGACAAACAACATGTAATACTGTAACAGACATGCCTGTTTTATTTAAGTTCTTTTACCGTAGGTCCTGGACGGCCGGTGAGACCCATTGGCCCTGGTGGGCCTTTCATAGCCAGCTAGACAGAAGAAAATTAAGATGCATAAAGTTAGACCTCAATGTGGAAAAACTAATAAATAAATATTAAGTAATTGCTATATGACAGCTGCTACTAACCCGAGCCTGAGACAGGATGGCTTGAGCTTGGGCCTCCTGTGCCGAGGCAATGGGCCCTTTTTCGCCAGCACTCTGTCCGAAACGGAACTGCAAGAACCAGAAAAGAGTTTTGCAAATTAAAGATTTGAAATTATTTATTAGTTAAGTAATGTGGATGTAGCAACTCGGGAGGAATAAAGTCACATATAACTTGTTTAACCATAACGGTATAATGGTGACATCTAGTGGTGAGATGACTTTAAGAAAGAAAGAAAGAAAGAAAGAAAGAAAGGACACAGAGACTTACAGGAAGCATGACAGAAGTTCCAGGAGGTCCTGGGACCCCGTCCGCTCCAGGTAGACCAGCTTTACCGGAAGGACCCTACAGAAACAACCAACAGGATTAATTATACTGCTTTTAATTAAAATTATAAACACTCTAAACCTAACACACTGAATATATATTCACAAGGACATATGCAAAGTTGAAACTATGAGCACCACAGCGTATATTTCAAACTAGCATACTCAAAAGCCAGTATCTAAAGTCAAGTCCCCTTATTTTTATAGCATTTTATACAATAGAGATTGTTTCAAAGCAGTTTCACAGAATTAAACATGAAAGTAACAGAATGATGCAAACTTCAAAAATGAGGAAAATCTAAATTCTGCTATAAAGCCGACAATGGTGTCATTATTCAGCTCTAGTAAGTTCACTGTTAGTTCAGTTTAGTTCAATAATTGTGTAAAGTTCACCCATACCTAAATGTAATATATGTACATATATATATTACATTTCCATATAAGAAATATATTGTCATATGAAGTAAAAACACATATGAAACCTATTAGAAATTGTTGTATATTAACATATACGACACAAATATGCATGTTTATGTACGTGCAATACATTTTTGGACATACATGTCATGTACATCTATCCTAAAATCCATCAATACTTGATATTATGTAAGTAAAAAAAAGACAGACATGTGTTATTACAAACATGCAAATTTTTGCATATAATTTGTTTTAATAGAGTTACATATAAAAATAAAATATATATTTCTGACATTGTTGCTACATATAATATCATATACAAAATCATCTCTACTCAAGACAGCAATGTCATTATTCAGCTCAAGTCAATGTTTTCAATAAGTTCAATAAGTGTCGATCTTGCAAAATTTAATCATGAGCAAATTCGAGTCAGCTATAAATCAGAAGACAAGAGCATCTTTATTCAGGCCAATTCAGTTTTGTTCTCATCCGATAGCATCAGTGCCATCAAATCAGAAATAAATGAATATTAAATGTCTTTTAGACTCCAACTAAGCAGCGGCAAGGAACCCAAACTCCATCATGTGACAGAAATAGAGAAAAAACAGCCTAATCTAAAGCATAAACACACATACAACTGTCCACTCACCCTCTCACCAGGATCCCCAACAGAACCAGGGGGTCCCTGGGGGCCAGCGGAGCCAGGGAGACCCTATACAGAGAGAAAGTTTGCATAATTAAGAGTATATAATCTACCCAAATCACAACTGTGAAACTTAAATTTTATCATAACATACACTATGTAGTGAAAAAGCAAACTGGATAACTAGCAATGCTCAATATGGCAGTTCTATGAAAGTAAGTTATGCTTTTCAATTAGAAGAGTCAAACGTTATTTGGTCATTAGCTTAATTTTGGGGAGGAACTAATCAAAAACAAATAAATTGAACATACTGCTGGTCCTTCTGGTCCAGGTGGTCCTTCAATCAACATGCCCTGCGAAAACAGTAAAATTAAGAAAATAATACATTTAGAAAACACTAATACATGAAATACATCACAATTCTATTTTGTAGCACCCTCTGCTGGCCTGGATGAATTACATGTCTTAACAGATAAAGCAGTTGCCTTGATTATTTCCAGTTGTCATAATGGAGTGCTGTTTTGATTATGGAAGTATGACTCTTACAGGTTCAAGGACAGCAGGCTCTCCCTTCTCTCCCTTCTGGGCTCGCACGGAGGCCTGAGGAAAACAGATATGTAACCCAAAACAGAGCCCAGTCAATATACAAACAGAAGAAAGCATCAGTCCAATACGTTCAGGTACCCACCTACATTATACATTATAACCCCTTTTTGTGGTTTTGGACGTCCATCCATAAACCACTGAAACTTAAGATTTACCTTGACTGACAAATTATTTTTTAAGGAAGTTAAGTAGATACTTAGCTGACCAAACAGGCTTAAAATTTCACTTATCTGCTGTTGTGAGGCCATCCATCTAAATGTAAGGGACCACTATACATTTTTATTCTTGTATATGCAGGTCTACAGAATGTTAATACATACTGCACGGAGGCCTGAGGAAAACAGATATGTAACCCAAAACAGAGCCCAGTCAATATACAAACAGAAGAAAGCATCAGTCCAATACGTTCAGGTACCCACCTACATTATACATTATAACCCCTTTTTGTGGTTTTGGACGTCCATCCATAAACCACTGAAACTTAAGATTTACCTTGACTGACAAATTATTTTTGAAGGAAGTTAAGTAGATACTTAGCTGACCAAACAGGCTTAAAATTTCACTTATCTGCTGTTGTGAGCCCATCCATCTAAATGTAAGGGACCACTATAAATTTTTATTGTTGTATATGCAGGTCTACAGAATGTTAATACATACTGTACAGCTCTGGAGCTGACGTCAAGCAGAAACACTGTGGTAGCCTTCCAAGAAGATACTGTTGTTCTATGCTGATCGAGATTAGAGCTGCTCTCAGATCAGCATAAGAGCAGAGGAGTCAACCAATACTGAACTAAGCACTCTATGCAGACTTGCAGAGGAATCTTGTGCAGGAGAAGTAGTCTTAAGTCTTTAAGTCTTGCTATAAAGAAGGTTTGCTGACATGGGAACCATTTCCTGTTTATGGCATAACTTGCTAAACCATTATGCTGAGCAAACTTGATTTAGTCTTAAGTAAACATTGAATGCAAATTAGTTGACTCTGAAGTTCTCTTCCAAAACCTAGTGAGCAGCCTTGCTGTCAACTGCCTACCAGTGTTGTTACTGTTAACTAAAATAAAAATGAAAATGAAAAAAAAAAAAAAAAAATGAAAAATGTCCAGAGCCTTGGACGTGACACATGGGGAAACAAAATCAAAGATATTGTGACCACAAATTAAGAATTCAATCCCATGACTAATCAGTTCGTTCTCTTGTTTCAGTTATATCATGGCCACTTTGTACCAAAATTTTAATTTAGTTAAATCTTGTCTAAATTAATAAATCATTAGAATGAATTTTGTGGCTACAATTTCTGTGTTTTTCTTTTCTTTTCTTTTTTTCCCCACATGTCATGAGTAGGGCTCAAAATTTGACATAAAGCTGAAATACAAATATACATAGATGAAAATCTAAAATAAATAAATAAATAAAAGTAATTAAAACTTGAAATGTTTCCAACAAGTACAAAAATAACTAAAAATAAATTAAATGGTATAAATGCAAATTGTATAAATAAAAAAAATAAAAAAATGACAAAGTACGTATAATTACTGCAACTTAAATGAAAACTGAAAATATAAAAATAAAAGCCAATTCAATATACTATTATAGTATATCTATGACTACAACAAAAGTTTGACTTTAACATGTTGCTAAGCAAACAATGTGATAATTTGATAGTCATATCAATACATTTGATCAACATTGTCCATTTCATTAAATATAAATAGATTTATAATCAATACCTCTTTTTTGCCATCTTAGATGAATTCTAGATTTGCCTTTAAAGTAAAGGGACACATGGGCTTGCTGTCTTCAAACAAGGTATTTGCATTGCCATCACATTCTACCTTAAATTTCTGTCTAGGCAATTAACTAGGTCTTGGAACAGAGCTCAAGTCTTGGACCAGTATTAGACCAGCACCAGCGCTTGGCTGATCTTAACAACTTCTTGCTTGATTCCTCTGCAAGATTTAAAGCCACTGCAAATTCAATTTAAGCTTTTCTCAAAGCTTTAAAGTGAATTTACTGGAAAGCACAAGGTAACTTACACCTCCCTCATCTGTCACAGCGGACAGGGCAGGGCCAAAGGTGTCTTCCGTCTTGCTTTCGATGATGGGCTCATTGTAGTCCCTGTAGGAATAGTCATACTCCTTTGTTCCAAAGTCGCTTGTAATGTACTCCTCAGTGAAGGGCTCGTCTGGCGTTTGAGACACCCCTTCACCACCTGTCTTGGTCGCATCTACTTCCTCAGCGCCAACAGTCTCGTCAACCTGGGCCGTACCATTGGGAGCAGAGGTAGGGGTGGAGTGGATGGTTTGGAGGATGGAAGATTATATGGTGTGATGGGGCAGAAATGAACAGAAAATAGGAAAATAGAGGGGAAAGTGGAAATTAGAAGGCAAAGAGAATAATCAGAATAATAGATCTTACCTGTTGTAAAACAGATATGAGAGAGGGGCAATCATCCACACACAGGCACAGGTTTACAGACACATACACACAGTATCACAGTCTTCTTCATGTCTAATTTTACCCAATAGTCTTATTTACCACTTTATTGTTCAGTCTGAAGGCCTGTTCACACCAAGAACAATAACTATAAAGATAACTGTAACATTAATCATATTAGCATCCACACCAATGGACGATAATGTTCTGTTTATTATAATCGCATGCAGCTACTTTAAATGCTCAAGCTTTTTAAAGCAGGATGGAATCCTGCTCTTTATCATTCATCATTTGAAAAAAAAAGTTCTAAAAGTGATTCCAATGATGTCATTCCTATGTGTAGTTACTATTATATTTGTGTTGTAAACATAGAATAAAAACGATTATTAAAAATGCATAGTTACAGTTATCATCCTTGATGTGAACGGTCCTTAAGAGAGCAGTTGTCCATTTCTTTTCCGTCATCAAGGCATTGACTAAGCAAAATGTGTGACCATAATTATGAGCGTTGTGCCTCAAGATAAAACTGAAATCCTTTTTCTGGTGCATTTTCCAAATATTGTTAATAAATCAATTAATTAATTTCAAAATGAGACCACAGAATCACTCAGGTCTATGGCAACACACTTACTCTGAGGCAAAAACTAAAGCACTGCTTCCTATAGTCTCTTACCATTGTATTGTTGACCCTTTCATTTAAATTTTCTGGCCATGTCCATTTCCAAACTATTCCTAAACATCTTGTTTATTCTTAAATACAAACCTGACCAAAAAGTGCCACTCTAGACAAGAAATAAGTTTTAGTTGGGTCTATCCATAACTAACTAAGCTGCTCAAAGTAAAGTTTAGCAGTTTCTTAAATCTTACATAATGGCAGTATCTGCATCCCAAAAATATCTCAAAAGAAGCTGTCCAGCAATGAATGCATGGTATTCATTCCATAATTGTACCATTTCTTTTGTGATCTCTGTTTCTCAAGATTTCTGTTCTTATGTTAAGATGGTGTCATGTCCAGTTTTGACATAGGAACAAGAAGAAAATCTTGAGGCAATTTATAGAATCACAAAAGAATATCTGATAAAATGGATGCTATGCATTCATTTTTCAGTTAAGTACAGCACTTATCATGGCAAACGTGGCTGCAGGATGGTTAATTGTTAAGGTAAAATATACACAGGCTGGTCTCACCTCCATTGTAATGGTTTAGAGTAATTGAGAGACTGTTTTCAGCTCCATGTCTCTCAGATATCTATGGGTGTGGGTTACCTGGTTAATGGTTTCTTCATATCCAGTCAGATCACTCTCTGGCTGTGGGCTCGCCTCTTCTTCTACTGTGTAATAATAATCGGTCTCTGTGGGGGTGTGGTCAGCCTCTGAGTAAGCAGGATCTACGTCCTGATTGGAGGAGGCCGAGAGATGGGTGGGTTGGGGAGGAGGTAAGCAGATATGAAGGGGAGAGATTGATTAGTATGAAACAAGCTCAAGTCTGATGAACTTGTAGAAAGAAAAGATCAATGTGTTTTTGCCAACAGACACACAAAACACCATTGATCTCATGTCATAGTAAAATCAGAACAGGAAACTTTTGCAGCTGGAATCAAAAATCTTGTAATAAGCCTTTACACTGTGAAAGACTTATAAGATTTGCTGTCCCAGATTTTCCTTTCAACCTGATTTGGTTTAATTAGCCACTTTGCCATGTCAAGGATAAAATATAGTCAAGTTGGGTCAAAACTTGACTTTAAGGTTGTTGATGTTGGTGTCAATAGTCTCAGACCATTGAAACACAACTGACAGCATTAGTAAACAACTTTTGGACATTTGTCCACAATTTCAGATCTTCAACAAAGACAGAAAGAGTTGATAATCATGGAGTGCAGCGCCACAGAGTCGCTGTTTTAAACAGGATATTCTCTGTGAAACTGCTTCATTCACATACTACTGACAGGACAGCATTTAACAAACAACACATAAAAGAGAAACAGGCTGAAATCATAAAGTGAGATGAAGAAAGAGACTTGTTGTGTCATGTGTAACATTGAGCTCTACCAATGACTCAATAAACTGCGACTAATCGCTCTAATGCTCTAATCGGCATTACCTGGTGATCTACTTTCTAAAAACTAACCGGTTAGAGAGTGTAGATTTGGAGTGAAAAGAAGACAGACAAAAGACTGTACAAATAGCCATGCGGTAATGACACAGTCTATACCGCTTATCATATCCTTCTAATGATCTCTCAGATCATTTGATATATGAAAGGGTGGAGGAGATCCAGTGGGTCTGTATGTCTCCAACCTCACAGCTGGTCAATCTCATGATACCTTTATGGTTTTACTCACTGATTTAAAAGTAAAAAAGTACAAAAGATGTTAAAAACGTGCTTTAAAAATGTAATTTTTTTCTTCTGCGCTTTCCTGATCCTGTTTTGAATGACATTAATACTGAAAACGTACAGTATGTAAAACCTGAAAGGCAAATGTTGGACCTTATTCACAAAGCACACCAGAGTATGTGTTGCATCTGAGATCTTTCGACATTTTCAATGAAGACAAATCCTAGATCAACAATTTCTTTGAGATACTTTATGAACGCGGTCCTGGACTACCAGGATGGCGAGGTTGGAAATACAGCTCTGGAAAGCCAACGCGGGTTCTTGATTTTGTACCTGTTGATAACCATTGGTGGGTTTCCTCTTGGGTATTTCTGGAGAAGACATGGTCGTGCCACTCACAGCAGCCTTGTCGAAGGGTGGGAAATTTTTGGACATTGATTTGACGTTATTGACATCCAAGACCTTAGGCTTTGGAGGGAGAGGCAAAGGCGCAGAGGTGGGTTTAAAAGCAACAGGTTTTTGAGTTTTAGCGACTTTGGTCTGAAACTTTTCTACCACAGGTTTGGTCGCTTTAGGCTTTGCGGGTACTGCATTGGCTTTTGTTTTGTCTTTGGCTGGTTGTGGTCTGGTCTCTGCTTTCTTAGCAGTTGTCTCTGACTTCTTTGCTACTGTTACTTTGGTCACTGCTGCCTTTTCAGTCTTCGCTGGTTTCGCACCATTGCCATTAGCTTTAGCTTCTCCTTTTGCTTTTTTCTCCACAGCTGCCTTCCCATTGCCATTGTTATTGGCTTTGCCATTGCTGCCAGCCTTAGCCTTACCATTGGCATCTTTCCCATTCCCATTGCTTTTGCCATTGCCATTACCATTTACTTTAGCTTGACCGTTATTTTTTCCATTGTCGTTTGCCTTCTTTTTGTTTTCAATCTTTGGGGCCGGTGTTGCTTTTGGTTTGGATGCTAGTTTAGAAGCTAAAGTAGGTTTTGTCTTTGAGATAGGTTTGGCCTTCGGCTTTGGAGTTGGCTTGGTTTTAGCTGGAGCAGCTTTGGCTGGGGCAGTTTTTGGCTTATCAGCTTTGCCGTTGTTCGCCTTTCCCTCCTATTTGATTAATATTGTTTTTATTTAAAAGCGTAAGTGTCAGGTCAGCGTTGATGAAAAGAGAGTGAATGAGAGAGAGATAGAGAGTGGAAGACATCAGGGATGGGTGGGATTGAAAGCAGTGGGGATGGACAGAAAAAGAGAGAGACAACACAATGAATTTAAGATCGCTGGCGTTTGAATGACTGACTGAGATTTCACTGGCATTACTGGATACAGTATGAAGCTAAGTCAGATTTAGTTGTTTATATTCATTTAATAAGTTTAGACTTCATGAACTTCAATCATACCTAAAGAAACAAATAATTTGATACTGTTTTCTCCAATAATGCCAATCTCCACATTAAAAAAGCAGCATGTTGTGCGCATGGGGATGTAACGCTGTGAGGCACTGGGGGAAAGTTTGCTCAAATAGCATCTGCTGATAAAACTGATGCATGGCTGGTACACTGTGCTGCCCAACTGCACAGAAAGAGAGGGATATTAAAGGAAAGGAAGGGAGATAGTCATAATGCACCATTCATAATCCCATTAAAATGACATTGCTAGCAAATCATTAAAGAAAACCGTTTAAGTAAATAACATAAAAATCTGAATACTGATTCAAATATTATACACCAATCAATGTGAAAGGAATGAATGGCGTAGACTACCAAGATTCAGATGATAAGCAAAAGCACAAACTGCAGAAAATAAAACAGGCATATTAATTGAAGACTAATCCTCAAGTTGACACATACTGAGCTAAATTAAACTAGTATAGGTTAACTATACTCACAGTAAAACACAAAATAGCTTTTTAAAGAGCTCAGTGAGCACGCAAGATAAAGACATGACTGTTCACAGGGCAAGAAAAACAACACTACAAATAAGTGAGAGTACAATCTTGGCCAAAGTGAAAGTAAACCTATACAGTGAAGAGATGGATATGAATAAACACATAGACACAGACGCTCGTTGTACATGATAACAGATGAGAGTGACACAAGACACAAGCGAACTCATAAGTTTTGTTACTCACACAACAGGTGAAAAGTGAAAACATGCAAATACACAAGACTGAAACCAGGTTTAAGAAGAGTAATGCCATGCAACTGGGAAGAATGAAAAGTGGTTTTCTTTAAAAACCCTGTTTACCTGAACTATTATGTCAGCATCAAATCAATGTTACAATGGCCCTGCTTACATGCACATTAAAATTCTGAACGGTCAAAATGTTTTTGGTTAATTTACTATGAAGTATTACTTAATTGCAGTAATTAACCAGAATATGGACTTTAGCCATAAAAAAAAAAAAGTAAATTAAAAAAGAATGAACCAAGTTAATGTAAATATAATATTTAAATATAAATAAAAAATAACAAAAAAACGTAAACATAAACTTACTTAATTTACTAAACATAATTTAGATACAGCATAAATATACCATAAAATATATCTGTATATATATATATATATATATATATATATATAATATATATATATATATATATATATATATATATATTG